GGGGGGGCGCGGTTCTCTTTGTGTCTTGGATATCATGCATAATGTACATACGAATACAGTAGCGTACGGCGCGTCGGCCGTGGCTCACGGGCGATGGACCGAGCAGCCGGCATTCGGGAAGGGGAAACGGGTCATGAGGCATCACATCATTGCAGGTGTCGGTCTGTCGGGGACCGGAAGTCGGAGGAGCAGCGCTTGGGGGACGGCCGGGGTGGTGCGTGCTGGGCCAGCCGCAAATGCGACGATAGAAATTTGTAATGTGCGATCTCGCAATCGTTTGGCAGCGCTAGGCGATCACGCAATTCTCAAAAAACTCGCGGGCATGCGGGGAATGGAGCTTGGTGGCCCGCTGGCAGCCCGCGAACTGCCAGCGCGGCAGCGCCCATGGGCATCCACGGTGGAGCCGGAGCCCGCCAACGGAACAGGCTGTGGCTGCGGCTAGCCTTCCAAGGTTACTCGGGGGGTCCTGTGGGCGGCGGCACTGGGCGCGCTCCAGCGGGCTGGGGGCCGCTCCCAGCACCCGACAGCAGCACAGCGCTACAGCACCCGACAGGAGCGGAATGGCGACATGGCGGCATGGCGGGCGGTCGGTGGTGGGTGTGTGGGTGTGGGTTGGCGGTGGCAGATGCTCGCCGCGACCAGGCGAGACACGCCCCGGCGGCGGCCACATCCACCTTCATCCACGGCCCACGGGGGAGGGAGGGAATGGACCCTTCCTTCCTCCGGACTCCTGCCTGGCCTGGCCTGCCTTGCCTTAATACCTTTGCTCGCCCAGACCCGCGTGGCCATGGCTTTTCTCTTCAGGTCAAGCAACCCGCCACCAGGAGACGGCACCATGGAGGCTTCATCCTCGCACCGAGTTGGCACGCCTGAAGAGGCTGGTACGTTGTCGCCCTGTCCCGCGCTCCCTCGGCACCTCGTGTAAAAGCATCGTGCACACTGCTGCCGCTGCCCCGCGGTGGGCACTCGTCCCCCGGATGCAACCAGCGAGCAGAGGCACCCGCCGAGCAACATTGCGAGGAGCAGCGACTGACCGACTTCAATTGCAGTTGCCAGAATTGCCTACCTTTCCAGCGATGTCATCGTCTCGGTGCAGCCGTCGCTTGCGCTCGACTCCGAGTTCTCGACGCACCTGAAGCGATACGCAGCTCGCAAGGACCACGGCTTGGTTGCCGCCACCCCGGACGCTGTCCCCGATGTAAGTGGCCGCCTGCGATGCAATTCGGCACAACGAGATGCATACAATTCATGTTGTCAGAAATGCACCATTCGTGGAAACATGTCGCGTTATTGCGCCGACCAACTCGTCGTCCTTGATTCCCTAGCTGACGAGTGCTGCCCAACTTAGATCCAGCCGGTTCGACACAATGCTGACCCGCTGCTCTCCGTTTTCGCCCCCATCCGCTCTGGGAAGCTCGTCTCCGTCACCACCGCTTCCACGATTCTTCTTCCCGCCATCTCTCACCTGTACAAGCTGGCGAACTACCCCGTCGTCCTCCATGTGTCTCTCCAGCCTCGCAGCCGTGCTGATTACTCGGCCATTACCGCCATTCGAAACTCGGGATGGACGTTTTTGCAGTCAGAAACCCTGCAGGAGGCGCAGGACATGGCCATCACGGCCCATGCGCTGGCTGTGAGAACGGGAAAGGGTGTTGTGCACTTCTTCGCCCCCGAGACCTCGGCCCACGACGAGCCCATAGCCGCGGAGGACGCTGCCATTGTTCGGGACATTCTCGACATTGAGAGCGTGAGGCGCTTTCAGTCTGGCGGAATCTCCGCGACAGGAATTTACGCTGATGATGGCCACGTTGCCGTCTCCTCTGATCACCCGGAAGCGACCTTGAACGGCGGCTCATCGAAGAACGTGGGGCTTCAGCCTCCCACTAGCGCCGATGCCTCCAAAGCTACATCCACTGGCACGTCGGTCAAGTCTAGCGAGGCCAGTGAGTCCTCCACGCCTGTTGCACCGTCTTCTGTCGCTACGACGGTAGAGGCTGTGCCGCCTCAGGTCACTTCAGAGGATATCTATACCTGCGCGACTCGGATCTGGTCCCATATCAAGACCGCGCTGGGACGACAGTACAACGCCTTCGAATACACGGGACCTTCCAATGCCCAGAACTGCCTCTTCATTTTCGGTTCCGACACCGGCTCGTTTGCCGAGGCTGTCGACCACGCGAAGCCGGATGATGTCTTCGCCAACGTCGGCATTCTGACGCCCCGCCTGTATCGACCGTGGATTGGCTCCAAGCTGGTCCAGGTCGTTCCTCAGTCTGTCAAGCGGATCGCGGTCTTGGAGCAGATCCAGCGTGCCACGACTAAATGGGGCCCGCTTCTCATCGACGTACTGTCGTCTGTCAACCGTGGCCCAGGTGGCGTCGAGGCCATTGTTGGATATCAGCTGGGTTATATTGCACCGGAGACTACCACCCAGGCTCTCAGGGGAGTCGTGCAGAACCTCACCGCAGAGAAGCCCGTTCAGAACCTCGAAGTTGGTGTGAAAGATGTTCCACAGCAGGCGCCCGAGTACAGCCTGCAATCTCCCCAGCTCGAGACTGCCTACTCCAAGATTCTGGACCAGCTGTTTGGGAGCCGGACGTACATTGCAAACGCCCTCAAGGCCCAGAATGCCGGAGTTTCTGCTACGGCCTCTGCGAGCCCCGAGTTTGGCTTTGGCTCTCTGCTGGCCCGCAAGGAACACCGCCAGCGCTTCGTGAACCAGGTCAAGGAAGCTGCGAGCAATGGGTCGTTTAAGACGGAGGAACCCAAGAGTTGGCTGGCGCGTTGGGCAGTGAATGCCGATGACCAGGCAAAGTCTGGCGAGATTGCCGACGAACTCATCTCTCGTCTCCAAGCGGACGGATCTGACGCCGCTCAAACCCTGTTGTCAAAGAGCAACTTGTTCCGCAAGGAGTCCCTGTGGCTGACTGGATCCGACGCGTGGGCTTACGATCTCGGAAACTCGGGGGTGCATCACGTCCTCGCTTCTGGCGAGAATGTCAACATGCTCATCATCGACTCCACCCCATACTCCGAAAAGGCTGTAGCCGACGCAAACCGGCGAAAGAAGGATATTGGCCTGTATGCCATGAACTTTGGAAATGCCTATGTGGCATCCACAGCCGTCTACAGCTCGTACACCCAGGTGCTACAGGCGATGCTCGAGGCCGACAAGTTCAACGGCCCCTCGGTCGTCTTGGCTTACCTGCCTTATTTCGGCGAGACCGACTCCCCTTTGACCGTCCTTCAGGAGACAAAGAAGGCCGTCGATGCCGGCTACTGGCCGCTATATAGATGGAACCCCGACAATGAGCAGAAGGGCGAGCCCAACTTCTCGCTCGATTCCGAGCTTATCAAGCAGGAGCTGAAGACTTTCTTGGCGAGGGACAACCAGCTTACGCAATTGATGCGGAAGGAGCCCAAGTTTGCTGCTAGTCTTGCACAAGACTTTGGCACCGAGGTCCGAGCCCAGCAGAAGAGGAAAGCCAAGGACGCCTACAACCAGCTCTTGGAAGGTCTCCTGGGAGCTCCTCTGACCATTCTATTTGCGTCAGATAACGGAAACGCCGCGAGCATATCGAAGCGGCTCGGGAACAGGGGCAGAGCCCGTGGTCTGAAGACCACTGTCATGGCCATGGAGGACTACCCTCTCGAGGACCTGCCCAGCGAAGAGAACATTGTCTTTGTGACCTCGACTGCCGGTCAGGGCGAGTTCCCTCAGAATGGGCTGCCGTTCTGGGACGCTATCAAGGACAACACCGACCTTGATCTCGCAACAGTGAACTTCTCCGTGTTTGGACTGGGTGACAGCCATTACTGGCCACGCAAGGAGGATAGGATCTACTACAACAAGCCGGCCAAAGACCTCGATCGAGTCCTAGGAAACCTTGGTGGCAAGCGTTTTGCGGACGTTGGCCTCGGCGACGATCAAGATCCCGATGGCTTTCAAACCGGTTACCAGGAATGGGAACCCAAGGTCTGGCAGGCCCTCGGCGTGGAAAAGGTCGACGGGCTTCCGGAGGAACCACCGCCAATTACCAACGAGGATATCAAGCTTGCGTCAAACTACCTTCGCGGTACAATCGTGGAGGGACTGAACGATCCGACTACTGCAGCGATTTCCGCGTCGGACCAGCAGCTGACCAAGTTCCACGGCACGTACATGCAGGACGATCGCGACGTCCGTGATGAGAGAAAAGCTCAGGGCCTGGAGCCTGCTTACTCGTTCATGATCCGGTGCAGACTTCCTGGTGGCGTTTCCACCCCTAAGCAGTGGGTGCAGATGGACGACATCAGCAATGCTCTGGGCAACGAGACCATGAAGCTCACGACCAGACAAACCTTCCAGTTCCACGGCGTGGTCAAGGGGAAGCTCAAGCCCGCAATGCAAGCCATCAACCAGGCGCTCATGACGACGATCGCTGCTTGCGGTGACGTTAACCGAAATGTCATGTGCAGCTCTCTTCCGACCCAGTCCAAGTACCACAGACAGGTCTATGCCTGCTCGCAAAAGATCAGCGACCACTTGCTGCCTTCCACCAGCGCCTACCACGAGATCTGGCTGACGGATGAGAACGATAAGAAGACACAAGTTGCTGGCGAGGCCGTGCAGGATTTCGAGCCCCTCTATGGCCCGACATACCTGCCTAGAAAGTTCAAGATCACGATTGCCATTCCGCCGCACAACGACACCGACGTCTATGCCCACGACATTGGCTTGATTGCCATCAAGGGCAAGGACGGGAACCTGGAAGGCTTCAACGTTCTCGCCGGTGGTGGCATGGGTGCTACTCATAACAACAAGAAAACGTACCCCCAGACTGGCCGAATGTTCGGATACTGCACGGCCGAAGAGGTGCACATCGCGTGTGAGAAGATCATGCTGGTTCAGAGGGATCATGGTGACCGCAAGAACCGCAAGCATGCCCGTCTCAAGTACACCATCGACGATATGGGCGTCGACGTGTTCCGTGGCAAGGTGGAGGAGCTGTGGGGGAAGAAGTTTGCCAAAGAGCGCCCCTTCGAGTTCAAGAGCAACATTGACACCTTTGGCTGGCAAAAAGACGAGACCGGGCTGAACCACTTCACCTTCTTCATCGAGAACGGCCGCATCGAGGACACGCCCGAGTTCCAGATGAAGACTGGCCTGCGCGAGATTGCCAAGGTGCATAAGGGCGAGTTCCGTCTGACGGGTAACCAGCATTTGATCCTCAGCAATGTCAAAGACGAAGACATGCCTGCCCTGAAGGAGCTCATGAAGAAGTACAAGCTTGACAACGTCCAGTTCTCCGGCCTTCGCCTCAGCTCATCAGCCTGTGTGGCTTTCCCTACCTGTGGCCTGGCCATGGCTGAGTCCGAGCGATATCTGCCAGTTCTCATTTCGAAGCTGGAAGCCTGCCTGGAGGAGAACGGGCTTCGTCAAGACTCGATCGTCATGCGCATGACGGGATGCCCCAACGGCTGCGCCCGCCCCTGGCTGGCCGAGGTGGCATTTGTCGGCAAGGCGTACGGCGCGTACAACATGTACCTTGGCGGTGGTTATCACGGCCAGCGCCTGAACAAGCTTTTCCGGTCGAGCATCAAGGAGGATGAGATCCTCTCCATCATGAAGCCGCTGCTGAAGCGTTATGCGCTGGAGAGGCAGGAGGATGAAAAGTTTGGAGACTTCTGCATCCGCGCTGGCGTCATCAAGGCGACGACAGACGGGCGGGACTTCCACGACAACGTAAGCTCGGCCACCCTTTGATGCGTGACACAGAAACGTCTGGTTCGAAGACTAACCACTGAATAATAGGTCGCGGAAGAGGAGTCGGACGAGGAGTAGACGCGTGCGCGTGCGTGCTCATGTCCTTGGGAGCTGTATTACTGTGCATAGTAGGATAGATCTGTCTGGCTGGCGTATAAGGCGGAAAAACCAATCTGATGTAGACGATGAATGATAATTGGGCAAACAAAAGCTGAATTCGCTGCCATTACCACGCTTCCTAGCCAGTTTGCCAACGCAATAGCCCGGTCTTTTCCTTGTGACGATTTTCTCGTGGAGTTGCCTGATGTGTCCCCATGGAGGTCGAGGACGGAACCAAAGCACGCGCGACATGCGACAGATAATACGTCGGTCATTGACTATCGTCCCTGTGCAGTATTTCCATTGCAGCATATCATCATACATGGCCCCGACATCACCCAGAGGCCCATATCCATTTCAGAGAAACGCACAAAAACACCTTGCACCCAATATCGGACGAGCCAAACACAAATTCCAAACAAGGCGCAACCACCTCCTGGTCGGGCGTCTCAGCTTTTGAGACTGCTTCCCACGCTGCTGACCGTCTCGCTCAGCTTACTGCCCACACCACCCATCCACTGCGGCATCTTGATTCTCATGCGTATCCTGCCCTCCACGATGATGTTGACAACATTGATGATGGCAAAGGTGGTCGAGCCAAGGGCGCGGAATACGGCGAGAGAAGCGACGCTCCACAGGATAAATCGCAGGTAGAAGTTGTCGCCGATGCCTTTATTGCTGTAAATCTCGGACACGGCCATGGCAAGAATTCCGTTGGCGATCATCCACGTCACAACCATGTACGTCCGTACACTCTTGTAGTAATCCTCTTGCATCTGGGCCTCGCTGATGCCCGGGCTGGGGACGGCCAGGCGGTCTCGCAGATTTCGCAGCGCCTCGTCGTAGCCGCTGTCAATGTCGAGCTGCTCGCTGGGCATTTCCAGTTCAACCGTTTGGCCTTTGCCGACGGCGCCGCCGAGATCCGTCTTCATGACGTTGTCGCCCTTGGTTCCCCAGGTGACGTCATGTGTATTGCAGAAGGCGTAAACCTGCAAAGTGCAGATGTAGCTGGGAAGCAGCAGGAAGTACTGCAGTGACGACGTTGCCATGTGCCACGGGTCCAGATACAGGAAGGACATGAGGAAGTACAAGCCCACAGTCGATGCCATGGACACGATGAGGTTCGTGAAGACATTGTTGCCAATGACCAGGTCTTCGCCATGATCTCGCTTGGCTATGAGCTGTCGAGTGACAATGTATATAGCCGCAAAGATGGTGTAGGCCATGATGACGCTATAAATGATCATACTCGCCAGGTACAGCTTCCGTGCACCCTGTGGTCGATTGCCGAGGGACAAGATGAACTGGGTCGAGATGAGCAGCACACAGGTATATCGCAGGATGGTGAAGAAGACGGTTCCAATGTTGTGGCCAAAGGGGTCCACCTGAGGATCCGTCAAGCCGCCGGCAACGAAGTAAAAGGTGAGATAGAAGTTGGCGAGCGAGAAGTACGTGAACAAGAGCTGGATGGTCTGGTATATGAACTCGACGAAGAGGAGAACCTTGCGAGCAATGGTGTGATCCGTCGTGAGAATCTGGCGAGCATTGACAATGGAATAGACGGCAGCGAAAAAGGCGCCGTTGAGCCATCGTCGACGCTGCGAGATGAACTCGGGCACGGAATCTGGAGAGACGAGTCAGAAACAAGTTGCCGCAGATGTAGTCGAATTAAACTTACCAGGCACGTCCGTCTCGCCAGTACAACCCTTGACATATTTGAGCACCCAACGCTCACCTCGCTTAGCCACCAGCTCCCAACATAGAATGCGATCTTCAGCAAGATACATGTTGGCAGTGAAGACATCAGCGTGCTGACCATGGAGGGTTTCGCCCTTGAAATACTGGCTCAACGGGCCGTGTCCCGTCTCGTCGTTTTGTAAAGCATGATAACGGTACGCGCTGAGGGCACCAGGCAACACGGTAATGTACCCAAAGACAGATTCCAGTGGCTTGTCTAGGATGTTGGACATCTTGTACTCGAAGTTTTGGGATGCCACGAGGGGGTTGAGCAAGTTTGATCCCAGCCTGCCCTTCATTGCCTTGATTTCTCCGCAAGCGCCGGCGACGTTGGAGTCGGTATCGAAGGACTTCCACAGGTGGTAGAGCGAATTGCCGCCGGGGCGCGTCCCGACGTCCAGCAGAATGCAGACATTGGGATTGAGAGCCTTACCGAAAGCATTGAAAAACCACCGATGCGAGTTGAGCTTGCGTTGATTCTTCTCCTTGAGGCAGAAAATCATCTGGCAAGGGACAATGCCCTTCTCAGCCCCCTTGAATTTGAGATCCGAGTCAAGGGAGACCTGGGTCGTGTATTCGTACACGTGCGCCTGCACAGCGCGGTTATTGACGTAGTTCTTGGCGATGCCATGCTGATAGACGCCCATAGCGGCAAGGGCATCAAGCGTGCGAGGGTGGATCTTTTCGCGGCCGTCCGAGATAATGCAGACAACAATCTTCTGCCAGCCATTCTCACCCCACGTACGTGAGCGAGACCGTGAGCAGAAGTGGGCAATGTTCTTCATAACGGCATGCATGGTGCGAGTAAAGTCGAACTCATCCTCGTTGTACATGGTGATGCAGATGAACAGCTCGGTCTCTCTGGTCGTCCGGCCAATGCTTTGGCGCAGTTTATAGCCTCTCTCAACGAAGTCGTCAGGGTCGCAGGTGACAGCCGTGTACCTCATATGAGTGAACTCGATTTCGCTTCGCCGGGGCAAGAAACTGTAGAGAATGGTGGGAATCTTGCACTCGAGGACCAGCTCGCCGTTGATGAGCTGCACCTCCTTCTTGGACATTTGAGGCGCTCGGACGCCTCGTCGCTCTTGCGCGCCATCTGGCGCAGGGCCGTAGTGCTCGAATTTTTCGTACGCATCGGGTTCCTCGCTCAGTGTCTCTTGGGAGGCGGACATGAAGGAGTCGCGGTCCATTGGAAGGGGACGAGAATCGCTCAGGTCCGACCCCGGGCCGAAAACATCATCGCCGCCGTCGAGAGGAATGGACACGGTCGCGTCGTCGGCAAAAGCGTCCGAGTGTCGCGCCGAGTTTGAGAAGAGGGGTGCGGGTGGCAGAGGCCGCCGTGGGCTGCCGCCATAACGGGACGACGGAGTCCCCGGCCTGGGGCTGCCGTTGATGTCCGAGGGCTCGTATGAGGCGGTGGACGCAGGGGGTCTCGCATATTCAGGCGACCTTGTGGACGGCGTCCAGGGCCGGCGAGGTGTCCCCGGCTCCCTGCTGGCGAAAGGAACATAGGTTGAATCTGGTGGCGGCATGGCGGGCGCGTCGTCGAGGATAGAGTTGGATCGCGAATGCGCCTCAGTGACGCTCGGCTGGTATGAGCGCCGAGCAGCTCGAGTACTAGGCAGTGGACGGTGTGAGCGTGATTTCTTGGCCATGGCTGCTTCTTGGACTAGAACACAATGGGCCGGCGACAGCGTTGTCGGCTTATCAGGCATACGTCGGAGCCGCAAGCGCAGACGGTCACTCGGTCCGTCTGGTATATGTGGTAGAGCTTCTCGAATGGGGGTGAGGATGGTGCCTGACGTTCGAGGCTGCTGTCTCCTCTGCAACTTTGCAGACGGGTTGTGACTCTTCTGAGGTGAGTAGACGGAGGCCGGCGACGTGATCTGTTGCGCACTCTGAAACTGTTCGATGTCGTCGAAGGAGGGCGTTAGACCTGGCCAGTGGGGCTTGGCCGTGTCCGCCTTGCGCGCGCCTGGGCGCTCAGCGAAGAGAGGCAAATGCGTGAGGACGGGCCCGCAGCGACTCGGCGGTGGCGACGACGTCTCGTGGGAGCGATGGAACCGAAGCGCAGCGGAGGAAGGAGAAGAGAATCCGCGCACAACAACACTGGCAAGAGGAGAAAGAGGGGGCTCAACGTACGCTGGACTATCGACGGGGTCTTCGACAGAAGTCAGGAGTCTGACGGCGGCGGAATTTTGACCGGTAGGGGTATCATGATCATCGTCATAGCTGGGCAGACTGTAGTCCGGCGGCCTCGACGGCGTGTTTGGCCGATCCATGGCGAAGTGTGTGTTGTGCCGTGCGGTCGGCGGGTGTGAGCGGGAGGCCTGGAATGCTGTTGCTGGAGACGGGCTCCAGTCGAACGTACAGGCGACGGATCTAGTGATCTAATTCGCCGCCGGCGGCGTGGGCGCAAATGCAACGAGAAAGCACCGACGCTGTTCGCGAGGACACGAACGGGGCGGTCATGAGATGGGCATGCGGGCACAAGAGCTGTAATGGAGGTGAGAAGCTGAAGCGGAGGACGACGAGGTGAGGTGAGGTGTTGTTGGGAGTTGTTTGTCGTCGGAGCTGGCGGGTGGTAGGAAGTACTTCGTACCTAGCCAAGGCAAGCTTTGGGAAAGGGTAGTGGTGCTTCCTTCCTTTCCTTGGACGGGGCAGAACAGACACAGACAGATGATGGTCGGGTCAGTCGGGGTGGCTGCAATGGCGTTGCGTCCTCTGTTACCAAATAAAACACGGCACTGTACTTTGGCAGTACCTCTCGTCTCTGCGCTGGCGTATCAATCTTGTGGTACCAACTTGGGCCTGCTGCTGCTCGTAGGCGCCCGTGGTTCGAGGCTAGCGGCGAGGTGATGCGTGTCGCACGCAAACAAGCAGGCGGGCGGCTGCGCAGTGGGCGGGTTGACCCAGCAACGCCGCGCAAGCCCAGCAGAGACGGGGCGCAGGGGGTCCAACAAGGGGGCTGGGGGCCTACAGCTGGCCCCCGGGGCGGCTCCACAACCAAAAGGCCCCACTGGAACCCAGGGCAGAGTACTGTGCGTGCACAGTGTTAGACGTACTGAGCAACAGTCTCATCAACGAAGGAGCTCCAAGCCTCCCAATGCACTGCCGTGCTCCACAAGCTAAACACCCCATCGCCAACCGCCAACATATCGCACCGGCTGTATAGATGGCGTTGGCTTGGCGTCGGCGAGGGTGGTAGGGCTGAAGTTTCGCGCATATCATGGCGCAGTCGGCGCAGGGACGTGCAGTTTGGAAGCACCCCGCACAAGCGCAAGCAGGGCAAGCAGGGCAAGGCAAGGCAAGGCACTTATCAGGTAGTGTTTGTGCGTGTTGGAAGTGGCACGTCTGCTCGGTGTTTGGTATTGAGCAGCTCAAGGCTCTGTGGTGGTTCACGCTCGCTCGTCATATCATCGTCATTATCATCACCATCCTCCTCCTCGTCCTGCTGCTGCTGCCGGGCCACCACCACCATCACCACCACCACCACCACCACCACCTGCGGGCCTGCGCGTTGCCTGCAGCATCCACTGCCCACCGTCGTCGGTGAGCCGGACCTCGATCCGCTTCGCCGCCGCGAGCATGCCGTCGGCAGACCCGGGAGCAGCTCGACCGCCGGTGCCGCCCCTGGCTCCGTCGTCGACCCTAGCGAACCCGTGAAAGAGCGGAGCGAGCGCCGACGACTTCCAATCCCCTAGCCAGGCGCTGTGGCGGCCCGCCAACACCAGCCCCGCGAAGAAGAGCACCTCCAACACCAAGAGAGTGGCCGGGAAGCTCAGAAACGCCCACTGCACCCCGATGCACGTGTCGGCCTTCCACGACTGGCCCAGCGCAAAGGCCTCGGCCTCAGTCTCGGGGTTCCTGCGCATCTGCGCCGCCATGCCCAAGCCGAGGCGACCCATGAAACCGTCGACCCCGGCGATATCTATACTGCCGTTGTTCCACAGCGACTGGAGCCAAATCAGCCCATAGTTTCCCTCCACCGAGCCGCCAAACTGCAGGGTCTTGCCGCCCCAGAAATACTCATCCAGGTTCTGAAATATTGCATCGGACGCCCTGTAGCCAAACTTGAAGACACAATCTGGTCGGTACCACACAGTCACGGGCAGCGTTCTGTTCGGGTAGGTGGCCTTGTACCGGTTATACGAAAACGTTCCGTCGGCCCAGTCGTTGGTCACAGTCCTGTTCGTCTTGAAGACCTGGATCGTGTGCGTCTCTGTCTTTGTGCCTGTCCAGGTGCAGTCGGTCCAGACACCCCCGCGAAGCGTGCGGTTGACGGCGAGGGAGTAGTCCATGGTGAATTCTCCCCAATTTAGCCTCTGCTGGTCCAGCTCCCGCTCTTCGTAACGCCCTTTTGTCAGGTTGGCAGCGTACGTCTTGATGCACGGTGCGAATTCACACGAGGCCGCGAACTCCCTGCCGAATCTGATGCAGGTGGGGCAATTGCGTCCCCGGGCTCGAGACAACAGGGTGATATTGAAGAGAGCGTCTCGCTTGCCCAGCGGACTCCAGCCGCCCAGTCTGCTTATGGTCGTGTTGAGGAGCGCTCCCTCATGGTTGAGAACTTGACCACCAGGGAGGGACCAATTGTACATGCCAGCAGGTTTGATGATCGAAGACGTGAGGTTAGTGCAAGTGTGACAGATGCTCAGGGTGGTGAAGGTGGCCCCTGTGTCGGCAGGAAACGTGCAGTTGCCAGTACGACAGTCCACCACAACGCTGGCAGAACTGTTGTCGGGTGGATCGAGGACGCCCAGATAGAGAGCGAGCTGCATCGGAGCGTCGAGCGCCTCCGAGCCGGCTCCGACGTGTGCGCCGGTGGCAGTGTAAAAGTTTACTCTGGGAATGGCCGCCCTGTCCGTGGATCGCACCAGACAGCTGTAGTAGCTGATGAGGGCCTGCGAGAAGGGATCCACGGCCAAGGCTAGGAGGAGCAGCACCGCTCCGAAAGCAGCGAGATATCTGGACGGACGCAAGGCATGAGTATTGCGGACCCTGTGCAAAGTTGCCTGGTGGGATCCTAGGGAAGACTCACGACCTATCTCGGCGAGGAGTGAACTGGCGGAAAATCAGCAGCAACGAGCCCCACGGGCCTCTGCTGGCGTTGTCAAAGGCTTGCATGTCATCGAGGCCGCGAGCTCTGTCGGCGAACCAGAACCATTTCAGCTGGCTTATACCTGGCGGGAGTTCAATGTTGACTGGGTTAGCCAAAACCAGACCAGAAGGGGCACTCGTCAGCCTGAGCGAAGAAGGCAGGCAAGACACACCTTCGGTAACGGGCAACGCAAGAGTGGCCTTGAAGACGGCCGAGAGGATGGCGAGGACGGCGTTGATGGACACGGGGAGGCCCCATTGCTCGAGCGTGCGGTCTTGGTACACGCGCAGCAGGATGATGATGGCGACAAGGGCCACCGTGGACGCAGTGAGGCTCAGCGCCTCCCATAGCCAGCGAGACGAGGCGCGGCAATGTCGCCACGCTCTGTGCCCAGATGGACGCTTCGACAGCTTTACGTGAACCGGCGGGGACTTGTGCTCGTTGCCGCGTCGTGGAAATTTGAGGAGGCTGTCGTAGTCGCTCAAGCTGCGCGGCAGAGGTGGTGGATGGTGCTGAGCAACATGATGGTAGTGGTGTTGCTGATGAGAGGCCATCTTTCCCACACTCCTTCAATTTCGGTGATGAGCAGCATTGCCATGTAGGACTGACACTCCTATCTTAGGAATAGGGAGACCCGCGGGGGTTTTAATGCATAGAGCCTGCTTGAGGTTCACCCTGCGGGAAGCACCGGGCGTATCTTCATCGGGAGGCGCGGGACGGGCCCAGCCGCCCGCGACGTTGCGGATGCTGCAGGAGTCGGGGCAGGGGGCCAATCCAACGTCCGCATTTTACGCGCGCGGCACACGGATGGTGCGTTGCGTGCATGCAGTTTAAATGATCATCGTGGGGGCCAGTTCACCAGCCGCCCGTTCGGGGGACACGGCTCGGCTCGGCTCAGGCATCTATCTGCCTGCCTTGATTGAATGCTCTGGTCGTATCCCGCCGTTCATGGTGTGAGCGACTCAGCAGGTGTTGAGGCAGCTAATTGATGAGGCTGCGTGCAGGCCAGCCTCGAACGTCAACGCTCAATGCCAACGGAGGCATTCCTGACGGCGAGGCTTAACGTACGTGCCTCTGAAACCGACAATCACGACGGCATTGAGCCAGTCTGTGGTTGTCGGGGCCACGTCCTAACGTGCCTCGGCAGTTCAGGAAGGGGGACGTGCCCAAAGCTTCTATTGCGCTCGAATCAGAATTCATCCATCCATTCTCCACAACATGGCACTCCCGTCCAGCCTCCAGGTCCCAGCACCAACGACACCTTCGCCCCGGGACCCCACGATCCACTTCCCCCCGTCCCCCGTGCCCTGTCCCCCCCGCCTTTCGCCTGCTGGGGTCCCGGGTGCCGGTTTGGCTTTCCACGCCTGAGTCCGATTCGTCAATGGCTTGCTTTCGAAGACAGCCAGCCTGTCGGTCCGGCAGTTGACGAATGGCGATGGCTTCGCCGTACTGCCGTCTCCATCTTCTTAGTAGGACCGGTTAAGCTTCAATGCTAGGCCCTTGGCCCTTTTCTGGGAAGGCGAAACCTGACCCCGTGCGGGCCTCGATGAAACTTCTCCATTCATAAAGCAGCTCGTGTCCTCCCGGAAGCAAGTGATGCCTCGATCGGGCTACGCAGTGCTGCCTACCACATGCAAGCCGTTCCGCCGCAAGGTGACGCGCATCCAAGATGAGATCATGCCCTGCGACCCTCTGCTGTGCCCTGCAGCTCCTTGCGGGCACATGCCTCGCGCAGACGTCGGCCAACTCGTCTTCGACGTCACCGCCTCCGGCCGTGAAAACAACAACCACAACACCGGCCGGCGCCTACGTCGGCCCCAACGTCACGGCCGGGCGGCCCATCGTCGGCGACTACCGCGGCCAGTACCGGCCCCAGGTCCACTTCTCGCCGCCGAGGCACTTCATGAACGACCCCAACGGCATGTTTCGCGACGACGCCGGCACCTGGCACCTCTACTACCAGTACAACCCGACCGACATCGTGGCCGGCAACCAGCACTGGGGCCACGCCACCTCGTCCGATCTCTACCACTGGGTGAACCAGCCCATAGCCCTGTACCCGCCCCGGAAGGACGTCTACGTCTTTTCTGGGAGCGCCGTTGTGGATAGGAACAATACTTCGGGCTTCTTTCCCAACCAGACCAACGGCGTCGTAGCCATCTACGTAAGTGACATTTTGACACTCGTCGAGATCTTGTGTTGATCGTAGCTGGCAAGACGCTGGCCGAGTACGACTCGGACGGCAGCCCGGGTCCCCAGACCCAGGCCATCGCCTACTCCCACGACAACGGCTACAGCTTCATACCTTACCATGGCAACCCCGTGATCCCCAGCGACTCGCCGCAGTTCCGCGACCCCAAGGTCGTCTGGCACGAGGGCCACTGGGTCATGGCCGTGGCGTACCCACACGACTTCGCCGTCGGCATCTTCACCTCCCCAAACCTCATCGACTGGAACCCAACAAGCAACTTTTCACATCACGGCCTCTTGGGTCTGCAATGGGAGTGTCCCAACCTCGTCAGGATGCCCTACGTCGATGAAAAGGGCGAGAGGAGGGATGACATGTGGCTCATGGTGGTCTCAATCAACCCCGGAGCGCCGTTGGGAGGGTCGGTCGCGCAGTATTACCCGGGCACGTTCAACGGCACGCACTTCGAGGCCGTCGACGCGGCGGCCCGCATCGCCGACTTTGGAAAGGACAGCTACGCAGGGCAGTTCTTCTACGGCAGCCCCGACGACGCCGAGGACCCCGTCTTCATGTCGTGGGCGTCCAACTGGCAGTACACGCAGACGGTGCCGACGGCCGACGAGGGCTGGCGCAGCGCCATGAGCCTCCCGCGCCGGACGCATCTCACCAAGTCGCCGCGCGTCGGGTGGAAGCTCGTGACTGTGCCGTACGACCTGAGCCCCGTCATGGGCGACGCCCTGGCGTCCAACGACAGCATCGCCAACGGCACAATCACCGTCGACTTCTCCGACGTGCCGTCCAATGCGCTGTACTGGGAGCTCAACGTGACGGGTCTGCCCGACTCTGGCGACATCTCGCCGACGGCCACCATGAACTTTACCTTTTCCAGCCCCGTCACCGGCGAGTACCTCCGGGGCGGCATGTTCTTCGGCGGCGACTCGCCCTTCTTCCTCGACCGCGGCGGCACGCGCGGCTTCGACGACGTCTTCTTCACGGACAAGGTGTCGACCAACAGCATCGTCTCGGGCGCGTCGTGGAACATGAGCGGCATCTTGGACCGCTCGGTGCTGGAGCTCTTTGTCAACGGCGGCATCGACAGCGCGACCACGACTTTCTTCCCAACGCAGCCGCTGACGCTCGCCGTCTTCGGCACCGCGGGCCTGCCCGAGGGGGCGCGCGTCAGTGTTCGGGTGAATGCGCTTCGCAGTGCCTGGGAGGGCATGGCGAGCGAGGCCGACGGCCTGGTGCACGGCAACCAGTCCAGCAGGGACACTGGGGTTGAGGACGTGAGGCGCATGCTGCTGCTGCGAGAGGGAGATGCGGGCATTTGAGGGTATGACTATTATGTACTTGATGTTTTGTCGGCACTCGAGCCGCGGCCGGCCGGCAGTGGCGTCAAGTCTTTGATCGTCAGGGCGGCATCGTTCCAGTCGACGGAGTAATACTGTACCACGCACAGCAGTTGTAGAATGCTAAAAATACCCTGGGTGAGCGACGAGTCAGTCCAGCGACCAATGCAAAGGCGCTGCCGACGCCGCGGCTCGTGTTCTCTGTGTTTGCAAGGTTGGAGTGGAGGAGGGGCAAGAGGGGGGGCACCGCCACGCTCAGGCACTGCCAAGTGCGCCAGGTGCCCTCCCAGCCACACGGCCACCTCCAGTGGACGCCGCCGAGCGTCATTCGCCCGCCAACCTCCACTGTTTCAGCACATGGCGCATGATGGAGGGGCTACAAGGGGGGGCTTGGGGGTCTGCCGCGTCAACCTCTGCCGTACGTCGAGGATGAGTGACATGGATGGTCGACGACTAGACACCTGACTTTCGTCGTCGTCCCTTTTCTCTTTCTGCATCCTCTTGCCCTGCGGCAGCTTTGACTTACCATACCTAATTCATTCGTTTCAAGTTTCAACACCCTCGCGTCTCAACCATCACCACCCGCCCGCGCGACGGCCACTCCTCCATCCCAAGTGAGGCGCGTGCTCTGAATCGTCAACCACGGGCACCATCCTGCCCGCCTAAGAAACCACACAGCTTGCGAGCCCCTCGAGCATCACTGCGTGGCCAACCATGGCGCCGCCGGTTCTCCTCCCCTCGTCGCTCGGAGCCGTGGCTGCGGCCGCAACCGACTTCAACGCGCGAAGCCTGCATGAGAACCATGCGCGCGACCTGCAGCATCCGACGCACACGCAGCAGGTCACCCTGGGCGTCATCGCCGCCTACGTCGTCGCCATTGCCATTCTGTGGAACGTGCCCTATCTCAAGATGATTCTCTGGCCCTTCAAGGTTCGTCGCTGCCTATTCCTTATACATATCCCGTGTATATGTGCCTGTGCTTGCACGGTAACTTCCTTCGTCCCGCGTGCGCGAAAGGGGGGGGCAACCCGGTAGTGCTCTTCTTTGCTAACTCGACGGCGCCCACAGATGCTCGTCATCGCCTTCCACGAGTTCGGCCACGCCATCACCGCCGTCCTCACCGGCGGCCGCGTCAAGTCCATCAGCCTCGACCCCAACGAGGGCGGCGTCACCCACATGCAGGGCGGCATCAGCGCCATCACCCTCCCCGCGGGCTACCTCGGCTCCTCCATCATCGGGGCCCTCCTCACCTTCTGCGGCTTCAACATCGTCGCCTCCAAGGTCGCCAGCATCGTCCTCGGCGTCTGCTTCCTCCTCACCCTGTGGTGGGGCAAGCGCGACTGGCTCACCGTCCTCACCGTCCTGCTCGCCGTCGGCCTCATCATCGCCTGCTGGTTCATCGTCCATGCCGAGGCCCTGCGCTTCGTCGTCCTCTTCATCGGCGTCATGTCCTCGCTCTACAGCGTCTGGGATATCTGCGACGACCTCATCCTGCGCAAAGTCAACTCGTCCGACGCGAGTGTCTTCGCCAAGCGCTACGGCGGCTCCTCCCAGTGCTGGGGCGTCATCTGGTCCATCATCTCGGTCCTCATCATGGCCGTCGGCATCGTCGCCGGCCTGGCCGCCTTTTCCCAGTCGTTTGAGCAGCAGCAGGAGGACTCCAAGAACTTCATTCCGACGTAACATCGGTACTGTTCTGTGGCTTGTTTCAGGGTATTCTGTTACTGTCCCCTTGTCGAAACGGCGTTGATTGGAAGTGCTGCGGCTTGTAACTTGTTGCCGAGGAAGGCTCCTCGGATGATACCCCTATTACCTAGACTTTTGTCACGAATGAAATGCCACGTCTCATAATTTCACGTAGCTGCGACGTACCTGGCGCCCAGACCTTACCCGTGCGACATCTAGGAGCATGTTGTGGCGTAACGATCGTGAGTTTGTATCATGACTATGTACGTAGAGAGCTAAGATAAGTATGTACAGCCCAACAGGTGGGCGTAAAGACAAAAAGGTGACGGGGGTGCCCGCCCTGAAGTATGTACAGAGAAGGTATAGACATGAGTCGCATATGAACAGTGTATGTACTTGTTGTGCTCGGCGTCATCTCCTCAAGTTGTCATCGATATCCTGCTCTACGCAAGGTCGCCCACCACCTCGCTGAGGAAGCCATTGTTGGCCCAAAGCTGCGACATGTCCCACATCATGACGCCGCCGAAGCTGCTGAACTTCTTGGAGTACTGGATCGCGGCCTTGAGCTTCTCGCCGTTGGTGTAGCCGCCGCCGGCGCCCGTGTTGGCCGGGATGCCGAGGAGCGCCTTGACGTTGGGGTTCTTGCTGCCCTTGGCCCACTTGTCCCAGACGTCAAAGTTGAAGGCGTTCTGCGTATCGGAGCCGACCTGGAAGTTGGACACGCCGCACCAGTTGTTGTAGAACTGGATCATGATGAAGTCAAAGGCCACGGCGTCCAGCGTCGAGCCGACAGCGGCGTCCGGGAATACGCACTGGGGCGCAGCCGTCAGGTAAAACTTCTTGCCGCCCGCGCCGTCCATGAGGCTTCGGAGCTTGGCGCCAAAGGCAGGCAGGTTGTTTGCCGACGACTCAAAGTCGAAGTCAAAGCCGTCCACTACGGCGCTGCCGAACGGGCGGTCGACATTGCTGCCGGACTGGACGGGCCCGAACATGGCCCACACGCTCTCCGCTGCGCTCTCGGCATCGCCCGTCGAGCCCCAGCCACCTTGGGTGTACGTCGCACCACCGAGTGACAGGACAATGGTCTTGCCATACTTGGTCTGGCAAGTGTTTATGTCGGCCCTGTGACCTGGGTTAGATGGGGATGCTTCTCACGTGCAGCCCAGAAACAAGGAGGGGGCGACGGACTCAATCTCAGGGCACTTGAGGAGGTTGGGATTGTCCGGAAACTTGTCGCACTTGTCGCCAGCGCTGGCAAAGTTGGTGATGGGCGGCGTGATACCGTTCATGAAAGCCAAAGGAATGATCTAAGAGCCATTGTCAGCCTTGAATCGTGGTGGTAGGCTGCACTTTATCACTTACATTGACGTCCGAGTCTGGAAAGGTAGGCAAGGGCGTCCATCGTTAGTGATACTTCCTCGTTGGCAGGCGTGTCTGAGACTCACTTGCACAGTAAGTCGCAAGGTTCTGTTGGCTATCCTTCTGGCCGTACGAGTTTTGCCCTGCAGGTTCTTCATTAGAAGTGTGGTGTGAGGATGGCTTGGCTTCACTCACCCCAATAGACGGCAATGTTCTTAGACGACCCGGGGTCGAAGCCAGCCAGGGCCAAGGGCAGGGCAGCGAGCAAGCTCGCGGCAGAAGCAAAGGAGCGAAATGACATGATGGAGACGACAGAGCACAAAATCTATGTGACAGTGAAGGGAGTGAATGTTGGGGATGGCGGCTAACAAGAGGGACACCGATATTGCACGAGGGCATGCATCTTAATAAATACTTTTGTGCCAACATACCAAAGCTGGAGGGCAGATCATCTGCCCGGCGAAGACTCGCCAAAGCTTTGAGGCGCTGGTACGACGTCTGTCCCCATGCTGTATGTCACGTTGGACGCAGCAACACCAGAGTCGCTATTCAAGCCCAAACTTCCACATTGGAGACTTAGCACGAGTGAGGTCTACTCCATGATCCGCCACCGATGTTACTTTACCTGAGCTCCCCAGCGCGCTATGGCCACAACGTGATGTCCGACGACCCGCGCGTGGGATGCCATGGAGGGCGTAGGGAGGGGGTAGGGGGAACGAGGAGTGTTGCTTGGGTGTAGGCTGACGTGGGAGGGGTGTCGCTTGTCACGGGGTGAGGTCGAAAAGGATAACTGAGAATCAGGCTGCGTACGACTTGCGCGCTCCTTGGGCGTAGGAAGCAAAGGAGGGTTGGGTGGCAGGCAGGTGGGTGCGGAGCTAGGTGGGTGGATGGTAGCGTGGCCAGTGTCTCTAGACGGGAGGCGAGAAATCATGTGTGGTGCCTGTGCCGAGACAGCAGGGATTCGCATTCGTCACGGCAGCATGTTGTTGGCTGGATTCGAGAAAGGGGACGCGAAACGCTCGCTCGGCTCCTGGAGCTTTCTCAAGCCACGGCGGGAGGCTGCCAGCTGCCTTGTAAACGCTTGTGTCTGTTGTGGTTGCGACGATGCTCCCGAGGAGACACCAGCACTTACAAGGGAACTAGCTCCGGGCTTACTCTTCCTGCAGCAGATTAGCACGGTCGGTCCGGTAAATGTTGGTTTGGAGCTTCGTTTCATTCCCCTGGCATGGTCGGAATGCGGGGACACTGCACTGCGACTGACAGTTGGAGACAGGGAAATTAACAGCCCGCCACGCGGCGTTTGCGAAGCAGCAATCGACAACAGATCTTAGTCTGGTTTGTTGACGGCCGGTTCCTCACGACGGAACGACGGAACACCTCGGAAGCCACACGGTTGCAGTCGTACGTAGATGTGGGATCATGGAAGGATTTGCTCGGGAGCCAGCTGCGGAGACTGGAGGATACTCTGCAACTGGCTCGTCCTAGTTCTTGGGCTTCATGTCATGGAGCTCCCATGGCGGCGGCTTTCACTCTTGCCCGACAGCTCCGCAACGCATCTCCGGGTCAAGTCGCGGCGCTTCACACATCGCCCAAGGCGTTCTTGCTCTAGCACCGCCTTTGTTATGTGCTGTAACGTGGGAAGTGGCCTCAACCGAGCGAGGATGTGATTAGGGCCGGTTCTTCGGCTTCCACAGGGCGGAGCGATGCCAGGCTGCGCATTCTCGTAGCCAGAGCGCGAGGGCCAAATAAGTGTCGGCGTTGATCGGCATAGGATGGCCGGTTTCTCCTCGAGCATTGGAGTCCTCGGCCGACTGGGTACAAAATGTTGGAGGCATGAGCTGCCTCGTTTGGCGTAGGGTTCCAAAGGATCGAGACGGGAGCGGGTCCCCCCTGCAGCAGCGGAGCGGGGAACGGCGACGGCGCCGGGAGTGCAACTGGAGCCGGAGGTTGAAGGCGCGAGCTTGGCGAGATGGTGGACGGCATGGGTCAAAGGAGGCTCCACATCAGCCGACAACAATTCGCTGGGGGGAACAGGCATAGACCTTGCCGCCGCAGACCACTTGCAGGAGTTTCGGCGTCAGAGGGCGTCGCGTCGTGCGTGGGGTGCAGCCGCTGGGCGACCTGGCGAGTGTCACGTACTCACGCGCGGCGTCACGGGCGAGACAAGCATTGAGATGGCGCATGTCAACGCTCGTTGCCTTGTTCGTGCCGCAGGTGAGATCTTGGGCCGTCGCCGCTGCTGTGATTGGAAGGCGGACGACAAGCCACGGCGTTGCATCCGCAGCCTCCGCCGTCTCGCTTTGTCCACTGGCTCGGGATCAAGGTGATCCAACGAGCTGAGCTGAGCTTGACAAGGGGCTGGGTGTAGCGTGACGTTGGAGAAGGCAGCCAGGCTATCGCTTGTTTGACGACGTCGACGTTGACTCTTCCAGATCTCTGTGCCTGCTATTGCGTGGTGTTCACCGCCGTCGCTCGCGGGTCGGCCTTGAGGGTTGGGGAGGGCTCTGGAACACAGAGCGGGCAATGATCTGGGCGAAGCTTGACGATATAAAACGGCAAAGTCGGAGCTTTCGTCGGCGTCAGGATGTCGACGACCCGGTAACGGCGGTCAAGGGCTCGCGGGAGCCGTCATCTGACGGGCTGCAGCTGCCTGAGGCGTGCATGCCTTTGAGACGATACGGCAGGGCAGGCGCCGCGAGAGCCGCTCCTGCCTTCCATGTCAAAGCCGGCCGATGGGAGGGGCTCGCGAAGCACTCGAGGTGGGCGGCGCCTGCCTTTGGCCCTCCGTACCGTGTACTTTGTACTAGGGTACTCCTCAGAGCATCTGTGGGCACGGGCAGTTCTCGGATCTCGAAGTCGACACATCAGACCACCACCGCAGACTCTAGTTCTCAGCCCGCAGACATCACAAGCACGACGCAGCCAGACGCCGAGCACCGGTGTACGTGACACGCCCCATCCGAATGTGAGCTCGGAATTTGAGACAGGTGTGCGGCTCAATAATGCTTATCTCTTGCGGCCCGCCGTCAGAATGACTCTGGCTATCAACGAACGCCCTCGTACATTGGCACAACAGACAGAGATCAACTATGGCTGACTCCAGATGCCAGCCATCGCCGGGTCCCTGCGCAATGCTGTACGTCATGTACTAGAGGGGCGGCAGGCGCACGCAGTCACGACCACGAACGCTCAAGCGCCCGTGTTGGCTCGCTCCTAAGATCACCGCACCGCATCTCCAGAGCGTCAACGAATCGACACGCCGCCTGCACGTCATGCGCTCTGCTGACCGTCTTCCTCTCCGCCGAATCTCTGTACTGCCGGCCCAGGGTACCCCACACGCGTCCGTCCTCGCGGAGACTGCAGAGTGCAGACCACCTACCCTTGTGCTGCCAATGTTGCGCCGCAGCTTCACGCTGCTGCAAGCCCTGCCTTGTTCCTGGCAGGCCAGATAAGGCCTGTCACCGCTCACCCGTTTCGGGCCACACGGCCCTTTCCGTCGTGAGTGTTCGAACCACACAAGGCCGGCGACAGTGCTGATCTGGGAAGCTCGATTTGAAACCCCGGTCACCCCGACTTACCCCACGGGACCAGGGTGCCGGGAGCGGGAACCATAGCT